GTAAGCTCAAAGATTCAAAGTGCCAATGAAGAGCTCCCTTGGAAACAAGATAGAGGCCCACATATCCTTGTGTAATGAATTGGAGCACTTCCTATCACCCAAAAATGCCCTGAGCCAGGCTGGCCTTGTATTAGTTTCAAAGGGGCAAAAGAATGAAGGAAGTGGAGAAATTGGGAATTGATGAAAGAAAGTAAAATAGTAAGCAAAGCTGGAGGGATATAAAGAAATCTTGGCAAATTTCTCTCCATAAGTAATGGGTTCTTGCACCAAAAATCTCAAGCATTTAAAATTTAGACCAGTGAAATATGCGAAGAGCCAAAGTTGTAATACCCATAAAGGGCCTCCTTGGTTAATATCCAGAGGTTTCTCATAAAATTAGGAATAGGCTCTATAAACATGGCCTAAAACATAAGGAGCCAAGGTTATCCTCTTCTTCGAGGCAAAAGCCTTGGCAAGTGGGGCAAACTCAAGCATAATCTGCTGAGATGAAGTGCAAAAGAGAAATTTGTATAACCAGTATAGAATGAAGGAAAATAACTCTCGATCACCTACAGGACCTACCTTTTTGTTCTTAATTTTTACAAAATCACTGATGGAAGAGTTCAAGGACGGGATGGTGAAGTTGACCGAAGTGTCTGGGTAACTAGGCGAAAAAGGAGCACCAAGTGGTGAGAGCCTTAAGAGATGGAAAATATCAAGAACGGTGGGAGCCATCATACCACACCGAAACTAAAAAAAAATTAAAAGCCGAATTCCAAAAACAAAGAGTTACAAGAATCAAAAAAAAAATCCTCAAAAATAATGAACTTGGAAAGGCGAAGGGCATCAAGGATACAGAGCTCTTGTAGATCCAATTCTCTGGCAGGCACAACTCTGTCATACCACTCCTCCCACTCAGCCCTCAATGTGGGCCAGCAATGGTGAGGACGGTTTATCCTCCAGTTTCCCCAATCAAAACCCCCTTCGTAAAGCAGGCAATGATCCTCTAGACGACGATACAAAGCAGGAAGTTGAGATGCGGCTTATGGACTCGACTTTCTTTGCGCGCCCCCCCTTTCGGAGAAGGCACAAATTGGTCGTCCTACAGTTCGAACTCCTGTCACGATTCTAAATCTAATCTCACAAAGTGCAATGCGAGACTGATAAACACCAAAGAGTCTAAATCTGACAATTGGTTTTGGAAAATCAATTTCGAATGAAAAAGCGCCAAACATGGACTGCTTTGCCAGATTACAGAGTCGCCACCTAAATATTTTATTATTGAAAAATTTAGGAAACCCTGACTCGTGCCAAAGGCCACGTGTCCATCATCAGCAAAATTGCCTCGGCTCGAGAACTTGGGTACAAGAGGGGAAGGTCCTGAAATGAGCACCCCCGCTCACCCGATCAAAGGATCGGCCTCTACTAAGCATGATATGTTGTTTTATAAACAAATGTATTCTTATTCTAGTTATTAGCTAACTTACTATGTGATGTGCACAGTATACAAGTATAGACCAAAATCGCAAGAATTGGAACGAATTCAACTCATGTTTTGTTTTTCGAAAATGGTTTGAAAGTGCCACCCTCAAGTGGCCTAAAGCGCGGATTTGCCACCCTCAAGTGGGCTTTAAAACATGATTTGCCACTTCACAAAGTGGGCTTTCAAACTTACATTCGGTGAATTTTTCCAATTCAAGTGATAAAGCCTTCATCCACAGGCGTTCATGCAATTAATCGCTTAAGCAAATAGCCTCATGGCAAGCATGCTGTCATGCAACACTCAAACTCATGCAAGTATGCTAAAGCGTAAAGACTCACAGTGTACTCCGAGCCAAAACAGGAAATTAGTTAGAAAGATGCATGATCCTAACTATGTTAATCAATGCCTAATGCAACATATGCAAAATGCAACTAAATAGGCTCGGCTATCTAAGATGGCATGTGAATGCAACAATTTGATACACGTATCTAAAAAAGTATTGAAATACAATGCAGTTTGAATGATGCGCCGAGCCCGGTGCATGCAAGACAAATAAATGATGCAAATATGCAAGCATAAGGCATGCTAATCGAAATATGTCCCTAATCTAACCATCGAAAGCGGTTAAATAAAAAGAAGAAAGACGTGGTGTTGGAAGACATGCACACACAAACGCACCCTTATGCCCTCTCGAAGGAGGGTCCGAATGAATAAGCTAAGCTACGCTAAGCTAAGCTAATTATTACAAATCAACTAATTAACTATTCTAGCTAATTAATTATTACAACACAATTGAACAAACTAACTAACTTTGCTAAGCTAATTAGGATATTACAAATCAAATCGAATGATTAATTACACAAACTAATCATAAGCAATGAAATGGCCTCCCGGGCGAGGGAGATATGCATGCTCGGTTGGCTTCCTCCCGAAAATCCATCGCCTTGTCATCGTTTGTCTCTGTTTGCACTCGCCTTGGTTTCTGAACATTGAACCAACCTCCATACCTTGTCTGCTCCAAAACAGGATCATTTCTACACAAAAATGGACTGGTGACCGGTCAGCCATAAAAAGTGGCTGCTGGCCACCTTAACTGGCCGGTCGGTTGGTAAAAGTGGCCGGTCGGCCACCTGCTTTTCCAAACTTCTGGTTTTGCTGCAACAGAGAACAACATAGGCACAACAATGTATTTGTAAGGAAATGTGTGTACTGCCACACTCATCATCATTTCTCAAGCTCAAAGGAGTGTGGCGCTCGGCTTTCAAGCCACAAACCAAGCATCTCAATGCATGATGGCCCAAAAACCAAGCTTATACAAGCTTAGTGAATGCACAAACAAGACACAAAGAGCCCGCACCCTGTCATGCATGATCAAGGGAGTTGGCGACCAAGAAATGTGACACGTTTCATCACTTTGAGTATGAAACGCCCCACATTTCTTGTGTTTGGATTAACGTCCGATCCAGACACATGTAATGCAACACACATGCTTATCTTATACACGTTTTACTTGGTCCATGTCACGACCCGAACCCGCCCCCGTGGGTTAAGGACGTAACCGGCCAGTAAGGACCAATTAACATATTACGGAACAGGGGTATTACAGTCCATTTCTTGTTTACTCATTTTACATTACCAAACCATTCTTTACTTGATTTGTCCAATGTAAAAGTCCTCTAATGAGAGAGAGGATTAACCAAAAGAATGGCTTAAGGCATGAGAGAGATCATGCCTCTGGCTAGGAGGAATCCTCATAAAAGGGTTAAAGCCATTTGAGCACAAACTCTATCAAGCTTAAGCACAATCACAAGGTAAACCAACCCCCAAAACAAATCAAAAGTGAAGAAATGTGGAAGATGGCAGATATTTCAGTGCTAAAGTGGCATGAAAAACAATACAACAATATGCAAACAACACATGCACAACATGTTAAAGGCCAAAAGCATTGAAACTAGTGAAGGACACAACACTAGAGGCATGCATTATCAAGCTCAAACAACCAAACCAGCTCTGGACAGAGCTTAAACATGCCAAAATAATGGTTTAAACATGCTGAGATAGAAGCTCAAAAGACTAGGAGAACATGCACACATGTTAGCTCATAAGCAAGGCACAATACACAACCCTCAAAAGCAATGAAGAAGTGAAGTATGTGAGGGTGTGACAAGGTTACATGCACTGAAATCATGTGTGAAATGATGCTATGGCATGCAAACAACTCAAGCAAAGCATGTTAAAGACCTTGAAGCTCAAAGCTAGTCAAGGTTATTTACACTATAGCTATACAAAGCAAGCCTCGTATGCTCAAGACCACTCAAAACAGAGTTAAAGTATGACAAAACATGAGCAAAAGCATGCTGAGATGGAGCTAACACAAGCTAAAAATGATAGGCTAACTCATAAAGCATGTTAAGCTAGTAAGCATGGTTACATTACAAGTGTGAGAGGCAAACAACAAGTGCTCCAACCAGCCAAAAACAGAGTTATAACATGTTAAAATAAGGCCAAAAACATGCTTGAACTAAGCTTCAAAAAGGTAGAAATAGAAGCTCACTTATTAGGCCATCAACACATGCAAACAAAACACAAGGAGAGGAGGCCACCCCCTCCTATTTGGGACTTCAAAACCAACTTTCTACCACTAAAATTCCCTTGGAATTCAATGGTTAAAAGTCCAAAAAAGAATTGTTTCAAAGGCCTTAAAAGATGGCACAAAGCTTGGCAAATAAGCAATAAAGGAGGGTGTGCCACCCCTAACTCTAAGAAGGAGTTGAAACAGTATTTTTAACACTTAAAATAAAGATTTTTTTGGTTGACAACTAGGCCAAAATAGCGTGCAAAGGTGGCCCAAACTAGTGTACAAAAAAATAAGCTTAAAAGCGGTAACTGCCTTACCCTTGAAGCACAGCAGCAAAGAAGTAACCTCTGAGCCAAAACCAGCCCTCAACAGTCCAAACAAGACCTTCAAGCACCTCAGCAACAAGGTAGTCTAAGTTGGCTAAGAGGTTGTGTGTAAAAATGCAAAGAAAGCTCACCTTCAAGCACAATATAGAGAGAGATAGAGAATTCTAGAGAGAGCAAAATTTTGCTTCTAAAATTTTAGAACCCCTCAAATGGGGGAGGGACCTCCCCTTATATAGGAATACAAGCATAAAGCTTGTATTCATCCCTCCATACACGTGTATGGAGGATGAGCCTCAGTGCTCAACAGCTGGCTCAAAAGACCTAAAAATATCTAAAAAACGAGAAAATTGGCCGTCGGCCACTTCACGTGGCCGGCCGGCCACCTCCCCTAGCCGACCGACCACCTTAAGTGGCTTACAAGGGAGAAAAGTGGCCGGCAAGGCCTTTTCCTCCCCCAGGCAAGAGGCATCAAGGTTTGGCCCAAAAACAAGGCCAAAACACAGAGTGTAAAAAGGCTCAAAGACAAGGCACTCAGCCGAGAACTTCGGACACTCAAAACGAGCGCAAACATGCACAATCATCGTGCACACAAACAATGACGTCTGAGCCTTAAGGTCGGTCAAAAATGGGGTGTCTACAGGGCTTCTCTGAAGATGGGTCCCAAGACGTATTCCTGTTGTTCATTATGGCGAGGAATAAAGAGGCGATCATCTATGGCACTCGGGTCACCAGCTCTGAGCTTGGATATCTCTTCATCGATACACCTCTTTAAAGCCAATGATGGACTCACGGGCTCCACAACTGGTACCTTTAGGCAGGAAGAAGCCATTAGCAAGAGTTTTCAGAGGACGAAGCTGAGAAAAGAGTAAAGAAGGGGAAAGAGCAGTAGAAATGAAAGGGTTTGTGTTTTGGACAAACGAGTAAGATAAAAGCGCGAAAGGGGAGGCATTTAAACCTTTATGTTCGAAGGATGCTCCATCTATTTAAATGGGTAAAAAGACCCGAGATAGATTGTTTGGCTAATGTTGGAACCCGTATGAGTTTAAGACTTTGTCCTAAAATTTGTGAGGGTCTTGAAAGTGCAATGTGAAAAATCTCTCTCAGGTTGATTGTTTGGGCGGGAGACATATCTCAAACGATCAAATTGGCTTCGAAAACAAATATTTAGCTTTGAAAGTCAAGATTTGGCTCCAAAGCCAAATGTCAAATGATCAACTAAGGCTTCGAGAGTAGGTAATTGATTTCGAAGAACATTTCATGCTTAAAAATACAAGAAGGCTTAGGTTTTGTCTGCTTCAAAGGGATTGGTGACTTGCTATTAGGTTTCTTATAAAGATAAAGTCCGTTAAAGTAAACTTTGAAGTGCTCTGCAGCTAGAATTTGTTTGTTTTAGACTTCAAAGTTGCGAAACCAGCATTTGGTCAAGTAGTGAAGAGACTCAAAAGGGCTCACTCTTTAAGAAGTAAGTAATATAATTCCTAAGGGAAGTTTCCATACTCCGAAGCACGTAGACTATTCTTTGAAGCAAAAATGTTTAAATTCGAAGTTGATTGGTTATGCAGATTGTGTTAATTATGTAATGGGAATGTGAAGCTTAGGGCAAAAGTTGTCATCCTTAAGAAAAAATTCAGTTTCCACACTTTGGGAGTAAGTTTGATTGATTCGAAGGTTTTTGTGAACATAGTAAGAAACAAGGTCACATCAATCATACAACCAAGCATACAATTGGAACATAAAACCAAATCATGCCGAATAAAGAAAGAAAAACCTAGCTTTATTGATATGTAAATAATTACATTAGAAAGCCTTCTTGGCTACAAATTCAATCTCATAAAAATAAGGAATAGAAAGAATTACAAGGTCATGAAATTTGTCCCAACAGTGGTCAATGAATTTATGTTCCTTATTTATTCTGTCCTCTGTCCTATGCAAGTTGGGTTTTGTAGCTGATATGTTCTTATTTGATGGAAAAGTTGTTCAGCTTTCATTTCAAACTCTATCTCCTTCAATCCTTGTTTCGTTTCGTTCATCTCTAGATCATCCCAGTATGCAGAATCCTTATTCTTAAAGTCATTATATTCGTCAATAAGATTCTCTGCCTTGTACTGGGTTTGAATTCATTTGACCGAGATTTTGTCCAAAGAATTAGTGGTAGCCAAAGAAATTTGGTACCAATAGAGAAGAAGTGGGAGTTGATCCAAAAAAGCCTGAAGCTCTACTTAAGCAATGGGGTTGAGAACATGACCTCGAGTCATAATGTCACAAGCCCATCGGAAGTTCTTGAGAGGAGTATCATCTCCAAGAACTTTGAAGGGCAAGTGAGAGAAGGCTGCAAATAGAAGTTGAGCTTGATATCGTTCAAATATAGTGGGAAAATCTGGAGGTTGGTAGGAAGGAAGAAATTGATTCTCAAAGAGAGTAAGTTTCAATTCCTCCATCCAGTGATGATTCTGAGAAAGACGAGGCACAGGAGGGTCCATCCCAAAGGAAGAGGGGAACTGGGGAATATTCACACATTCAAGCTAGTTAGAAGAGCAAAGTTTTGCCTTCTTGGCCAAGAATGACGGATTGTATCCTTGTGCTTCCTCTGGACGAGAAGTTGCTCGCACTATCTTCGTGGGCATGGAAGATGTGTACCACGCCACAAGTAAGTTGTCCTCTAGACTACATTGGTGATCAATGGGTACATAGGGGTAAACCACTGAGCTCCGAACAGAATGAGGGATAGACTGAAGATCAACGAATTCGACGAATCGATGGTGAATTCGCTCTCTTAGTTTGGATTCATCAGGTTCTAGCTAGCTTTCCCAGCCAGTAGACTTGGAGGAAGAAGAAGCAGTTGTGTCCCATACAGAGGATAGTAAGGCAGAAGAATAGTTTCTAAGATCCATTTTTGCAAATGCTTGATCCAAGGGTTCGTAGTTGGCAAGCTTTGCGTCTAAAGGTTGGTACGTTGCAAAAGCTTCCATAACTTGCATAAATAGAGGTGGATAGATATAATCAATAAATGCATTGAGATTCTTTCAAGGCCTATAATGATCTTCCATAGACTCCTCGTAAGCTCAATCAATGTAGGAGAAGGTGTGATTGGCCATTGGGGATGTACTAGTCTTTTCGTCTACTCAAAGAATAGAAGTGCAAGATACAAGGATTTAATGAAGTTCACAGCTTTATTATTCAAATAGCGGTTATGCTACCAGAATACACAGAGTCCATACACGTCTTAAAACATGGGTGGATTGCACTAGTTCACTAATATCACCAACTATTGGGTATATTAGTGCGAGGGGTAATGTTGTCTGCATATTTTGTATAGGCCAATCACAGCTTAACACGTGGCAAGATGAGGGCAACATGGGGAGTTAATTTAAGTCTTCAATCGAAATCAGACACGTGGCAATTAGCATTGGTAATCATGGATCTGCATAGTACTGGATCAGCGAAAAAATATAAGATGATGTGGTTTAACGGTTACTCACAAAGTTTAAATTCAAAATCAAGAGGGAAGCCTAACTGCAAAAGTGGCATAGTGGGACTGACTGTGAGAGAACATGTTCAACAATCATGGGAGGACATTTCGACAGTTGAAAGCCTACTTCGACGGTTATCATTGGAAAGTATAAATAGCAGAGAAAGCCCCAGAATGAAGCATCCAGACTTAGATTAAAAAACCAGTTTATTTACTTCGTTTTTCCTTATAGTTTTTATAGTTCTTTACATTTCTGCACTTCAATTCCTGTACTGCACTTCATTCCTAGGAGTAGTTTCAAATAGCTTGTTGCTATAAACCTCTACGAGGCTGGGTCAGATCATTGTAAGTTTTTCATTTTACCTAATGAAATTCAGATTCTGAAATCATTCTTCACTTGTTATTTACTAAATTCTCCTAAACAAGCCACCAGTAAAAGTCCTTTTCATTGACGCTGAGAGAACTTAAACACATTCGTTTGATAATTGATTGGTAATTAATATTCTGTAAGGGCTGATTGATCCTTGTTAGCACGCTTAAAATTATATTATTAACCTTCGAAAGTCAAAAAAGCCAACAGTAGCAAGACAGAATTTTCAGCAAGTAAAAATTAAAAAGGCGGTCACAAATTCAGCAAGTACATACATGCTTTAAATAGAATTTTCAGCAAGTAAACACATGCTCTAAACAGAATTTTCAGCAACTAAAAATTAAAAAGACAACAAGGAAGAACCTGACTACACATTGGACTATTTGATTCTTGAGAATATCGAAACCCAATGTCATATCCACATGAACCTTGAAGTAGTGACTGGAATGTTGGTTGAGCAAAATAGCATTAAGGCATTGAATTTGGCAAAGAATTTGGCACTACATACATCTCCCGCAAATTGTTTGCCTACAACAATGTCATATATCAAGCTTCGCAATCATGGTTTGAGTCACATATTATATCCACACAGAAAATACAATGTTAAATTAACACTCACATGATATGTGGGATACATCAATGGCGGAGGAATAGAATTACCACCCATGGCCAAAGATAGAGGAAGAGGATGAAGAGGAGGAACATGTTGATGAACATAGATATCTTTGCCAATAGATAATGGAGAAGGTGTAACTATTGGACTTGCAACAGATTTTGACGAAGCCAAGCTATTAGCACGGGATTTTTTTTTGGAGTTCGCTACGAACGCCGCTTCGAATTCACCTTTTACCCTCCTTTTGCCCTTACTAGTCGCCACCTTTTTCTTCAATCCTTTTGGTTGCACAACATGATTCACATCTTCGTAATCCACTTTAAAGCTTTGGGTTGCATCATCATTGCTTACTTCATTTTCAATAGCAAAATGAGCACTTAACTTGCGTTCAACATTTGCACCTAATGTAGCAAGCTATGCAATAAAAAAACTCATAAGTTTCTTCAGTTTCTGCAGCTCTACATACTATTGCTCTAAATGGGGTAATCAATGTCTTATACCGCGAGGCTTGTTGGAATTTCACATCTACTTGAATGTCATTCCCCGTAATGTCCTTCACAATTTCGGCTCTTACTTGTTTGGTCCACCTCTTTAGAATGTATTGTAGAGGAATCTCTTTCATCTTCAATATGTCTCTAATAACCTTCAATGAGTGACAACACAAAATTCCTTCCCTCTCAAACTTTGTACAATTACAACCCAAAGAGCCATCCCTCTCCATCTTCACTTTCCTTGCATGATTGCTACCAACATCAACAACTGTGTAAATGGTACTAGCCTCGCCATATTCAATTGCTTCTATGTGTGATTCAATGGATTGAAAGTACTCATTTTGAAATTCCTCAAAAATCTTTTTTGTGTACACATTACCCATTTGAATTAACATTCTTATTGTCGCTTTCACCTTTGGCAACCTTTGGCACAAAGCATATCCTACTTCTAACTCCTTGTATCGCTTCTCATAAAGTACCCTTTCGAAATTCATGAAGAATTCATTTAAATTAAAATCAGAATAAATGTAATCCGTTAAAAAAGCATTAAAAGATTCACTAAGTTGTGTGGTGCTCATTCCCACAACCCATGTTGATCTAACATATGGCCAGCCCCATTTTTCTTTCACCGCAAAAGTCAATTTCAACCAATGGTTATCATGCGCATCATATTTATCAAGCATTTCCTCCCAATCTAACTTCCATTGATTTTCATCTTCAATGTCAAACAGGAATTTATTTAGTACACCATTTACCCCCTTATCTTGGAACAGACAATTAACATGTTTTAATGCATTTTGCATCAAATCCCAAGTATACAATCGGTGACTTGTGTCATGCATAACGATGGGTATAGCTTTAGCTATTGCAGCATCTTGATCAGTGAACAAAGCTTTTGGTACCTTTCTTGACATAGCCACTAGAAAATTTTGAAACAACCATACAAATGATTCGGCGGTCTCATCATACAACAAGGCTGCACCAAATATAAGTGTTTCCCTATGATGGTTAAATCCCACAAAAGATTCAAAGGGTCTATGTTCTTTGTTTAGCTTGTAAGTCGTATCAAATGTGACAACATCACTAAATTGGGCATAATCCATGATCATTTGTGCATCGGCCCAAAACATGTTTGTTATTTGCTCCTCATTATCTAACTGAAAAGAATATATATATATATATAAAAGGATTCTGCAAAGATTTTTCTTTAAAGTATTGCAATACGTTGCCTACTTCCCCATATGCTAAACTTTGTTGTCTTTTGGTTCTCAAATAATTTTTTTGATCTAATTTCGTAAACCCAAGAGATTGCCTCCCACCAGCTTCCCTACCCATGAGTTCAAAAGACTAGCCTAAACAAAGACCAGATTATGCTGCCAAATCTAACTCAATTGCTTGAGTAGCAGATATCTTTCTTTGTGACGGCAACATATGGGCACACTCGAGTGATACAAGATCGTGGTTGTGTTTTTCTTTGAAATCAGTCACAACAAATTTCCCAATACCCTCATCTAATTTAACATAAAGTTGAGCCTCACAACCAGTCCTAGTTTCAGCTCTAGGGTTTTTTGCCAATGGGTCTCGCTTGTCAACCTTTTGAAATCCCTCCTTGTTGCAAACCAAAAGTTTACAAATAAGTTGGTTAGTGTACTTGTTCTTCCTACAATAATCCCTTCTTATGCTAAACCCTATTCTTCCTCCATATGCATTATAAAAACCATACGCACATTGTTCTAAATCAAATGGCATTCCTTGTTTTGGCTTCCAAGCACAATGATTCTCAACTTCTATATCCATATCAAAATGAAACTGAAAAGCCATATAAATCAGTTTAATTATTTTAGCACCAAGAACAAACAGGAAAAACAAGACACTGTTAATGTTAAATTATTTTGGCACCAAGAACAAAGACACTATTAATGTTTATGAATCAGTTTAATTATCAAGTTTAATAAATGTTTATGAATTTGTTTAATTAATGTTAAGAACAAATTAGTTTACTTAATGTTAATGTTACAAACTAAAAACTCCATGAACAGTTTCCACACTGTTAGCTCTCAATGTCATTATCAAGTCATTAAATCATATTATCTATATTATTCTGATGCCTCCAAATCCCAAAGAATTTACAATAGACTGGGAACTTCAAAGATAATGGAGAAAAACCCACACTATTGACTTGGATTCATACTATTCAATCAAACACTTGATTTAGATCATAGACAATCATATTATTCAATCAAATCTTCCAAATATATATATAGTTGGTTCAATCAATATAGTTGGTTCGATCTAGTATGCAGTGGACAAATCAAACCCACTTCATAAAATTTCAAAGATATTTCTCATAGATATTTCAGAGCTATTTCATAAAATTTCAGAAGTATTTCACAAATCAAACCCAAATATTTTTGGTAATCTTCTTTGATAATTATAATTATTTCAGAGCTCTTGATTGGTGAACAAAGAAGATTACCAGAGCTATTTCACCATCATGATAGCCAAAAATCTGAATATAATACCATTTTATAAAATTTCGGAGCTAAATTCAGATTTTTAATCTAATATTTCTGGTATATAACTAATACCAAAATCTGAATATAATCTAATACCATTTTATTTAATCTAAATTGAATTTTTATATAATACCATTACCATTCCAAAAATCTGAATATAGCTTTGAAAATAAATCATTTTATAAAATTATCACATTTGATTTGTGAATATAATATTTCTGGATGAAGATTAGCGAAATCAAATGTTCAAGCAGATTACCGAAATTTGAGAACTTCTCGTCGTCGTTGGGAGTGGGTTGCCGGTGAGAGTGGGTCACCAGTGAAGGTGAGTCGCCGGTAAGGGTGGGTTGCCGGTGCAGGTGGGTTCGAGGGAGGACAAGCGGGCTGAGTGAGAGTGAGTGACAGTCAGTGTATACTCTATAAGCTATGTAATGCTTTGCGCGGGAAAATGAAAGTTTCAATTTTGATTTTTTTTTTTATAACCGTTGGATCTGCAACGGCTGATCTCAGCCATTGCAAGGAGAAAATGAATGAGGATAGTCAAGGAGGGGATTCGGACTCGTCTGGTACATGCAGCACGTTGTTGAGGGTAAGTTCCTTCCCCAATGTTATCTTCAAGATCACCTTTCCTTGTCTAGCCACAATAGAAGTAGAAGAATTTCTCATGAAAAGTTATTCACCATTAGCAGCCTCATTATATGTAGTGAACATTTTCTTGTCTGCGCAGATGTGACGAGTTGCTCCTGTGTCAACCCACCATTCCTTGGGATTTCCAACTAAATTAGCCTCAGATACCACAAGAGAGAGATTGATGTCATTTACCCCGTCAGAGATGTAATCTAATTCTGTCACATTGGCTTGATTAGTAGTCTTCTTACTTGTACTTCCGTGATCCTTTTTAGGGCATCGGCAATTAGAGGCACGATGTCCAGTCTTGCCACAGTTATAGCATTTACCTTTTAACTTTTTATTGCTATTGTTGTCGCCTTATTTAGGACCATCTCCAGCAAACTTCATCTTCTTGTTGTGTGGTTTGAGCACTTATTCAACCACATTAGCCTTAGACTCAACGGGATTTTTCTCATTCCTCTTTTCAGCCTTACGATTATCTTCCTCAATTCTCAGTCTTACAATCAATTCATCCATGGTCATTTCTTTACGTTTATGTTTTAAATAATTTTTGAAATCTTTCCAAGCCGATGGTAATTTTCCACTAACGCAGCTACTTGGAAAGACTCGCTCAGAGACATACCCTTAGCATGAATATTATGCAAAATTAATTGAAAACTTTGAACTTGAGAAATTATGTTTGGGAGTCTACCATAAAAAAGTCCAAAAATTTACCAACAACAAATTTCTTTGTCCCGGCATCCTCTGTCTTGTATTTTTTCTCCAAAGAATCCCACAATTCTTTTGCTATTTTCAGAGGGCTGTAAACATTATACAGCATGTTGTCTAAGCCATTGAGGATGTAGTTTCTGCACAGAAAATCAGAATGTTTACAGGCGTCTATAGCGGCAACAACTTGCCGATCACTTTCATCCTCTTTATGTACTAAAACCTCTTCACGGAGAAACCGAGCAGATTAAGAGTTGTAAGATAGAACAACATTTTCTACTGCCATCTCTTAAACTTGGTGCCATTAAATTTTCCTATTTTTCTCCATGATTTATTGGAACTTGAACATGATTCTGGATAGGGACCGAAGTCAATGTAATAGTTGGAGTACCACTTTCAATGGCAGTAGCCATAATATCTGAATACAAAAATTAGAAAAAATCAAAACACAAATTAATTTTCTAGTTACTAAAACCAAAAAATAAATTATAACACAAAAATAATTTTATTTTTCTAATTACTAAAACCATAAAAATAAAATACTACATAATAATTTTCTGTAACACTACTACACAAATTAATATTCTGAAATTGTTAATGACACCAATATATTACTACTAGTTGTCAGAGAAAATAAACAGTATATTACTACTATTTGTATTTTTTAACCAGAATATCACTTTGTGAAAGTACAAAAAATAAATACAATGAAGACACCAAAATTATTCTGTCTTAAGATTGTTGGTCAATCTTCACTGTATTCGAAGAATTAAAGAAACGAGAGAGACTGTTTGATTATAAAAATCAAAGTAGTATATAAAATAAAATAAAATAAAATAGATTTTTATTTTGTTATAAAAACAAAATCAAAATTTGATATAAATAAATAATTAAAACAGAAAGTAAATTAATTACTTACCTTTTTAATTTCTCGAACAAAGTTTTGATCAGTCCAGTGTTTAACATTATGTCCTTAAGACAGATTTGTCCTCTCCACGGTACTTTTAGATTGTGGACGTCTATCTCCCAAAATAAAATGATCAACAACGAATAATAACAGCATTACAAATTATTCGCACAATGAACACACTTTGTGTTTATACTCTTTCTTACAAAATATTAATGCAGCAAAATGCAAAGAGAGTAAAAGTAGAATGAGGGACGAGTGAAAAAATCAATCGAGGGACTGCCTATTTATAGATGAAATAGTGTCTTTTCAGTTTTGAATTCAAAAGATATGGTACCTGTTCGGATAGATAAGAAACTGTTTGGTTTGAATCTGTTTGGGTTTTGAATTTTGAACAGATTCGGATCCGTTTAGAAAGATATGGAGCCTGTGCAGAATTCCGAAGAGGTGCAAACCAAAATTGAATTTTCCAACTGAAATTTAAATTCAAACGGTCAGAATTTATTTTCCAAAAATAAAAAATAAATTTAAATGTTTTTTGCCCAAAAAGAATTACTATTGGGCCGAACAAGCCCAACCCAACCCAATCCAACCCAACCTCACACCACGCACCGGCACCCAGGCCCAGCACAGCCCGCTTGGACGGGCGGCGGCGCACACGTGTTTATTTTTGGGTTCAATGGGTCTAGCCCACTTTACCCATAACCTCTCTCTTCTACAAACTTGGGTGCCCCTTGGGGCCCTTCCCAAGGTCCAAACTCAAACCTTATAAACCCAGTCAAAGTTTGCCCACCAAATTAATGTGGGACAAGCTTTAACTCAAACCTTAATGGAAATTTCACCAAAACACTATTTCCATAGAGCTCACTTTGGATTCAATTTTCCATTCACCCGATAATGGTTTTGAGCAACCAAATATACTACGTGAATCATAACGCGACATAAAACACGTTACCACTTTGACCTGCCAACTTTGGCACATGGGTCCCACCTAAAAAATAAACCAAAGTTAAGGAAAAATCTAATTTTTCCAAAATCATTTCTAACAAAAACCACATTCTCTTCTCTTTTATTCATCCAAACATAATAGTGAGAAATCATAATCATTTATTTGCTTTTCTCACCTTAGTGAGAAACCACAATCATTTCTTTTCTCACCTTCCCTCACAATCCAAACGGAGTGTAAGTTTTAAGTGTAGTTTGATAGAATTGAAAATTAAAAATTAATCAATGCTAATTTTTTTAAACTAAATAGTTGTTTAATAAAAATATAACTGCTGAAATAAAACAAATTATTTGATATACATAATTTTCAAATTTAAATTTTATTATTTTAAAATTATATCTTTTAATTTTATATTGTGATAGTGAGTTGGTTCTAGTGGTGGTGGAGATAACAATGGTTCCTATAGCATCAATGACAATAGTGGTACAGATAAAGAGATAGTGGTTGTGGTGATGTTTATGATGAAGGGTTAATGTAGTGGTAATGAAAATTGTCAATGACAATAGTGGTGCAGATAAAGAAATAGTGGTTGTGGTGATGTTGATGATGATTATGATGAAGGGGTAATGTAGTGGTGATGAACATTAGGTGGTTGCAGTGGTATACTAATGGTGGTTATTGTGGAAGTAGAATGATGGTGGTGGTTATGACAATGATTGTAATGATTGTGAATGGTAAGCGGGATAGAGGGTCGGATTGGATTAGTATGGGTGTAGGTCCCACCTACACCTTGTTTGGTGATAATTTGGGAGGGGGGATTAACAATGTGAGGGGGCTTAGTAATCCCCCCTCCTAAGAGGATTAGCTTGGTTGGATTTTGGGTAGGATTAAAAAAATAGTAAGTGGGTTGTGTCTATTTTATATAAAAAATTTAATTTTTTTAATTTAATTTTTTTATTAAGTGCATCTATTTATTTTAATATTTGTTTTAGTTTTTTTTTTAATATAGAAATAATTTTTTTATTTATTTTATATAAAAATAATTTAACAATTTCATCACTAATCATCTCCAACATTATTATCAAAACAAACACGCTTTTACTTAATCTCCTCA